ATATCATCGAAGAAATAATTGGGGTAAAAACCTGTAAAATAAATAACTTACCTGCTCAAATTGTCATAGATAATAAAGAGTATGACTAATAATGCAATCTCAGAAAAATTTAATAGTTTTTTTGTCAACATAGGCCCAAATCTAGCTTCAAAAGTCCATTATCCAAACAACTTATTTGAAACTTATCTAAATAGTGTCAACAACGAGTTTATATTAAAAGAACTAAAAATTGATGAACTCGAAAATGCAATAAACTCTCTTAAAATAAAAAAGTCTTCTGGTAAAGATGACATAATATGCAGTAATATCGTCGTCAATGTCTTTTCGGAGATACATAAACCTATCTTAGAAATATTTAAATCATCAATTAAAACTAGAACTGTACAAGATAAATTAAAAGTAGCTAAAATTGTACCTATTTTTAAAACCAGTGTAAAATTTCTAATAAACAATTATAGACCAATCTCAATACTTACAACCTTTTCTAAAACACTTGAACGAATAATCTACAATAGATTATATAAATACCTAATTCAAAACAAATTCTTAAATTAAAAACAATTCGGCTTTCAAGCACAGCACTCAATAGAACATGCAAGTTTAGATTTTGTTAATAGCATAAGTGATTCTTTAATTAAAAAGCAATTTGTATTAGGAACTTTTTATAAACCTTTCCAAAGCATTTGACACAATTGATCATGATATTTTACTAAAACAAAATAAAAAAATACGGAATAAAAAGTACTAGCCTAGATTGGTTTAAAAGTTATCTTTGCAACAGACAACAATGTGTTATTTCAAACGATAATAAATATTATAATTTACTAAAAATAAAATGCGGAGTTCCCCAAGGTTACATTCTCGGTCCTCTTTTATTTTTAATTTTTATAAACGATCTTCGACAATCACTAAAAAAACTTGATGCAATAATGTTTGCTGATGATACAAATTTGTTTTACTCATCAGCATCAAATCATCGAAAATCTCTTTGATTCTGCGAACGATGACCTTGAGAGTCTAAACATTTGGTTTAAAGTAAATAAATTATCTTTAAATACAGAAAAAACAAAATACATCTTGTTTCATTCCAACCAGCAAAAAAATAAAATACGAAGCATTCTACCATTATTAAAAATTGATAACATAAACATAGAAAGAACTGAAACTATTAAATTTATTGGGAAAATTATTGACGAAGCGATTTCTTAGAAAGCCCATATAAAAATTACTAAATACAAAAATATCAAAAAGTAACGGTATACTTTACTAAGTTAAATCTATACTTTCCCAGGAAAATCTAAAAATTCTCTATTTTTCTTATATACAAAATTACCTAACATATGCTAATATTGCCTGGGAAAATACAAATAAATCTAAACTAAGTTCTCTATATATACACCAAAAACATGCATCAAGATTGATTTATAATAAAAATAAATTTACTCATGCCAATCCTTTACTTAAAAACTTGAATGCTTCAAATAAACATCTGCTAAAATATTTTGTTTATGCTCAAATATAAGTTCGGACTTGTCCCAACTCATTTTACAATCAACTTTTTTCAAACCAACGCCAACAGATATATTACACGTGGAACCGGAAACTTTATGTTGCCCATAAAAAAAAAAAAAAATTTCGAGATTTTCAATTGTATACCGTGGCCCCTATTAATACAACAAAATATTACCTCAAAATATAGAACTTACTACATTAGAAAAAAAACATTACATTAGATAATCTTATTGCTCTGAAGAAAAAGCTAAAAGATCTCATAAATAGCACAACCAATTTTATCGATATGTATTAAATATAAAAGAACAATTAATATAATAAAATGTAAAAATAACAGTTTAACCTATAAAAATAAATAATGAAATAAAAAAGAAATAAAAACATAAATTAAAAAAATATATAATAAATACATATAGTTAGCAACTAACATACATAAGTTAACATACATAGTAAAATATTACTGAGCAGATGACTTCAAAAAGTTAATGTGTGTTTTATAAATTTACTCTTTAAATTTTTAGTTTATTTTGTATTTTAAAGGTTCTCGATGAACAGACTTTTCTTATTCTTCTGCGAATTTCCTTGCTACTACACAGTACTATTAATATATATTAATATATAGTTTCAACGACAACGACAAGCAAGTCCCTAATAGCCCTGTGGTGCGACGGACTTGTATATATTTTTTAAATGCATAGGTTATAAGCCAGCACTTTATATTATAAACTACGAATTTTTAAGTTTATTATTTTAACTCGATGTCAAACGCGCATGCGTAAAACAGTTAACGCTCTTTGTTTATTGCAACTTGTTAACGCTCTTTATATATTGTAAATATTTGTGGTAGACATTTATATAAACTGGAGACATGTATATGTTATTTGTTTTGAAATATATAATAATGATTGTTGAAAAAAAAAAAAAAAAAACATCATTTGATACCAAAATGAGGTGAAAATCATAAAAGTTGTCGAATGACTGAGAAAAAGATCTAATATCAACAAAAAATTACTTTACACCCAAGTGTTAGTTTATCTATCATAAACAGTGAAAGATAGGTACAACGAATTTCTTAAATTATTAAGCACAGTGTTTTTTTTGATACAGGAACACATTAAGAAAATATCGTTGAATAAATTAACTGGATTTTACATCAGAATCTATTATCACTAATGCTTAGAAGTTGCATTAAATTTAGTCAAAAATCGTAAAAAACGTAATTTCAAACAAACGGCGCGAATACTTCTATCAAGAAAAGGTAAAAAAAAATTTTATATAAAAATGACCTGTACGCCACTCCGCATAAAAATTGGTCATCGAAAAAAAAAATATGGGATTGGCTACTGTATATATACAGAGTGCTTTCAAAGATAATAGGCGCAGTAAAATATTGAGTTATTTTTTCTAAAGCATTATGATAACCCATACATATTTGTTAAAGATTTATTCTTTAATTTTTTTTTGAACAAATAAAACTATCAGTTCTCTAATACTATCTTTTCTTAAGACGCACAAATTTTTACTTTGGTTCCCGTTCTACTTTATTCTTAATCCTACTCTTAGTCATAACTATTTTATAAATTTTTATGTTAATTTTAAAATTTCCTATAAAAAGTTGGATAAATTAACTTTTGACGATCAGCGACGTAGACTTGATCAGTGTAGTCTTGATCAGTGACGTAGTCTTGATCAGTGACGTAGTCTTGATCAGTGACGTAGTACTGATCAGTGACGTAGTCTTGATCAGTGACGTAGTCCTGATCAGTGACGTAGTCTTGATCAGTGTTGTCTTAAATTAAAGTAGTCAATGTAGTCTTAAGACTTCATACATGTTATTTACTACTTTGTTACTTTGCTTGCTACTTTTCGACCCATTTTTATGTATCTTAGCTTTTAGGAAGTATTAAAATGTTTAAAATTTTTTAAATATTTTACCGACCGGTAGTCTTTATATCTAAAGTTTTGAGGCCGGTTACATTTAACCATATTATATTGTGATCGACGAGGTATTCCAATCATGGAATCTTTTTCTACATAATTTATCATACTTTACGTAGTTAAAACCGCCAATAGCTTGGGTTCACGTTTTTCCTTTATTAATATTGGATCAGTTGCGGTCATAGAGTCATTTAGTACTTTGAAAAGTTCATATATTGAGCTCGGATTCCGAATAAAGATGTTAAGCAGTTAGTAACTCAAAGAGCAAATTAAATTTACTCTTTTTACCAGAAAGTAATCATCCTTTAAGTTTTTTGTTTTGGTTTATTGTTAGGCATAGCTTCTCCATATTAATACAGTATAGAATAAGTGCAATTTGGTTACCTTGCTTTACTCCCTAAATTATTTGAAATGATTGAACCAGATATTTATTAATAATGATCAGAGATTGTGACTTGTTCATAATGTTTTTAATGTTATAATGTTGTTTCTGAGATTTAGTTTTTCTAGTACTTGATACAAGAAGTCTCTATCCAGTTTGTCAAAGGCTTTTTCTTAATAAATAGTGATGATCAGGTATTCAATGTCCTTTTCTCGGGTAATAATCTTGATTAGCTAGTAGAGATTTTTATAGTAGCTAGAGATTTATATATATATATAAATATATATATTTAAACATGAGTTGTAGAACTTGGTGTATATTAAGTTTATAAACACTCAAGGCACAAAGTTTAAAAAAGATTCGTAATGTGTGCACCAAATATAATCCTGCATAAATTTTATAAATTTTTTTTTACTATAAAGCTTTTTTAATTTACCATAATTCGTGCTACCCCATATAATAATGCAGTAGAAGATAAAACTATGAATAAATAAAAAGCATATTTTTTTCAAGGATGCAATGTTGAGGAATGGTTTAGTTTTATATGGAAAATATGGGAATATTTATTGAGACTTGGTTTAATAAATTATCTTAATAAGTCAGTTAAATAAATCATTTTTTATGATTGCTAGAACAGGTGAAAAAATTTTTGAAACAATAAATTTGAATTTGAATTTTACAAATGCATTTTTCATATTGGCATTTATAATAATGTAATTTTTATCCTAATACAACAAAGTATTCTTTTTTTCCAAAATAACTATTAAATAAATAAGTTTGTTGTCTTCACATTAAAATACATTAGCTGTTAATTTATCCAATAAATAACTGAATTATTAAAGTTCAGCCTGTTGTAAAACTGAATAACGCAACAAATTACCTAGTGTGCACGGAAAATAAAAAAGACGTTTTATGAACTTTCAAAAGACATCTAAATAATTTCTTTTTTTACGTCCGATACCCACTGGGTATGCATGATCTTTAATAACAGGAAAAGTGTCAATGCAACTGTTTTCTGTCTTTCTATATATTTATACTACATTTATATATAATATATACTCATAAAATACAAATAATATTTTATACTTTATAATATAGTATATATGCTTTAATTTTGTTATTATATAGTTTAACATAATTTGTAACATGTAAATAATTCAAAACTGACCTTGAAGTTGTGTGAAGAAAATTATTAAAAAATTAACTTTTTTAATATTTTTGTTTGTTACCAGCATGGTTATCTAAAAATATTATAATAAATATATACAATGAAACAAAGTGCAGACAAGTTACAATTAGAAGTACTAGATTCCGGATCAAAAAATTGAATTAAAAGCGAGAACCCATAAAAATAATAATTATAACAAAAAGTATAGCAAAAAAAAAATGTTATCTTATAATACTAGAAATATACATATATAAAGTGTTATTACACACACACACAAACATACACACACACAAATTATTAGGGCGCAAGTTTTTTGTTTTAGTACCTTGAAAAAATGAATCTTTTCAATTCACAAGCAATCGCAGTCAAAAAGCCGCTAGCAACCTCTATTCAACTTATGTATTGAATTGAATTCCATAAATACCGCGCTAGAGATTAGAACCCTCAACGCAGGAGACCATAACTTTAAAGAAATACCCCGTAAATATCTTAAATTAAATAACAGTTATTGTAAATATCTTAACTTTACGTAAATATCTCAACTTGAATAATAATTAACGAAAATATCTTAACTTAAAGTTATCTAATCACGCTCCAATTTTTAAAAAAACTATCTAATAATATTTTATACCTGATAAGCAATCAAAGCACCAATCAAAGCACCAATCAAAGCACCAATCAAAGCACCTATCAAAGCACCTATCAAAGCACCTATCAAAGCACCTATCAAAGCACCTATCAAAGCACCAATCAAAGCACCAATCAAAACATTACCAATAAAAGAAAAAAAGTTCTAAACAATTCAATAACTTTAAAGTTTTAATTTTAAAATTCTACTTATTAGTAATTTTAAATTTTAAAGTAATAAATAATTATTAAGTTTAAATTTTAAAGTTATTAATAATTTAATTTAAATTTTAGAGTTATAAATAATTTTTTTTTTAGTTTGTTAGTTTATTTTGCCTTTAAAAATATTTACCAAGTATAACAATATAAAAAGTACAATTAGCTGCAGCAAGAAGAAGGCTTAAAATAGCCTTATCACCGAGCCCCAATAGTAACGCAAATAACTATCCGTAATATACAATAATCCGTAATATATAAGCAAAAGTATTTAAAAAAAGACAATTTAAAATGTTAAGAAACAAAGTTAAAAAGAAAAAAAAAAAAAAAAAGAAGTATTAAAATAATTGAAGAAAAATAAAAAAAAATAAAAAGAAATGATTAAAATATAGTAATAAAAATGAAAAAAAATTTTCTGTTTTTGGTTATAAATTGGATATGATTCGACATATATATTTGTATATATTAATTTTCTTTCAAAATAAATCAAAATTCAAATAAAAATTTTGTTCCAATATTATAAAATATATCAAGAAAGTTGTAGGTAACTTTAAGAGAATATATATATTCAATGAAAGTATGATAAGGACATTGAAATTCTTAGTATTGTTAAATGGTCTAGATTTTTAAATTTATGGTGCTAATTTAGTTTAATAAATTTTAAAGCTTTAAAAGTGACATTGAAGATCTGCTATATTAAAATCCGTAAGTACTAAGTAACGTCTTAATTTAGATTCGAATTGCGGAAGTGTTTTTTCTTTAATATTAACAATATGCTGAAAGTTTTTCCACAAAATTGGACCCCTGTACTGAATAGAATAAGAACATAACTTTAGATTATACTTTTGAGTTACAAAGTTATTTTCTGAGAACTTGGTGGGGTATTTATGGCTTACTTCTCTAAAATAAGGATAGAATATCTCTGGAGACAGTCCATGTTTTATTTGATACATGAACTGTATGACGAGGAATATGTTAATTTTAAACACATTTAATGCATTGAGTTTACGTAAAAGTGGCTCACAAGGCACAGATCTTTTTACTCCAAATACAATTCTACATGCATGTTTTTGTTTAGTATAAATTTTCTTTAACTTAGCGTAGCTGTTGCTTGCCCATACGATATTGCCGTAAGTTAGATAGCTATGTATGAAGGAAAAATATAAAATTTTTTGAGATCTTATATCCAAAAATGGTTTTGCTTTATACATCATTGCAATGTTTATTGAAAGTTTTCTTTCAAGAGTGTTTATATGTTTAAATTGTTAAATTAACTCCATGTTAAATTTTCGTCTAAAATAATACCTAAAAGGTTTACAGTTGTTTATACAGTATTACAGTTGTTTGCCTAGTAATATTTATATTATTGATTTTAAGATTGGGTAATTTTAAAGGAAGGTTTCCTGTTTTGGTTGGTTTGTGAAATAGAATAAATTTAGTTTTGTTAACGTTTAGTGAAAGTTTATTACGAATAAACTATTCATTTACTTTGTTAACTTCTTCATTAACTACTTTAAAGAGGGTTTTAATATCCCTATGAGAATAAAACAGATTATAGTCATCAGCAAACAAAATAAAGTTTAGTATGTTCGAGGTAAGAGATAGATTATTCATATAAAGAGAAAACAGTAACGGTCCTAAGATTGAGCCTTGAGGAACTCCACATTTTATTATACTTTTTGTCGTTTTAACATTTTCATATTGAATGTATTGCTGCCTGTTTGATAAGTAATCTTTAAACCATAGTAAATTATTGTTTTTTATTCCATAATGTTCAAGTTTTTTTAAAAGAATGACATGGTTGACTGTGTCAAAGGCTTTAGACAGATCAATAAATACTCCTAATGTAAAACGGTCATCATTAAAATCATTGGTTACATGAGTTACTAACTCGGTCAAAGCGTGATCAGTTGAATGATTTTTTTTAAAGCCAAATTGCTTGTTGTACAACATGTTATTTACTGTTAAGTAGCTGTTTAGCCTATTATACATTATACGCTCGAGTAACTTAGAAAAGCATGGTAAAACTGATATTGGTCTATAATTTGAAGAATCTGTGTCATCGCCAGACTTAAAAATAGGCAAGGTTTTTTTATATAGCTCACAAAAAAATTTAAGAAATAGTTCATAGGCATTATTTACCTCTACTTTTTTCTACTCTAATAATTATTAAGTTTAAATTTTAAAATCATATTTATAGTTAGTTGATTGTTATTTTTTTATGTTTTTTGAAGTAATTCTCGTTTCTTCAAAATGTCTAAATTAGAATTGAAATAATAAATGTTTAGATTAGATTTTATACATATTATTTATAAGATTTAATCGTTTAGATTAACAATTATATATATGCCGGAACATACACAGTATATATGCCGGAACATACACAGTATATATGGTGGAACATAACAACTGTATCTTTGCCGGCTTTACAGATGTTTTATATTCTTATATATATATATATATATATATATATATATACATATATATATATATATATATATATATATATATATGTATATATATATATATATATATATATATATATATATATATATATATATATATATATATATATATATATATATATATATATATATATATATATATTATGTTATTTAGGTGCTTCCAGATGTCCTTACGGTCTTATCACGGAGCACCGCGGGAGAGCATTTAATTGGAAGTTCACGCCTCCTTCCTACCAATGTCGCTTATTGGGCTGGAGCCGGCGTCAAAGCCGGAACCTCTGGGTTCTGAGCAGAACTCTAACCACTACGCCACGGCTGCTCAAAATTTAAACACGGCTGCTCATTATTTAAAATACTGCTGCAACAAATAGCAACAAAGCAGACAATCTGTTTGTTATCCTCAAAAGTACATATGCAATTAAATGACATCTTGGAAATTTTAAATTTTTTAAGGAACGTAATAAATCTATAGCTTAAGAAAGAAGGGGAGAAAAAAAGATAAAAATAGTTTGGATTATCTTAAACCCTAAGATTTATATGAATATTTTTTGAAAGGGTAGTAGAGATTGTCTAAAATTTAGTTTCATACGTATATACGTAAAGGCGTCATCTGATAAAAATATTCTGGAAGAATTGGATGTATTACAATCAAATTATCCCTCTAACATTTCACCTTGTTTTGGGCCTCAACTGCTTCGATTTAAAGTTTGTTTTTCTGAGCAATTAAAAAAATTTGCTTCTAAAAGCCGAATTGATGAACTACGTTTAATTCAAAAAGCAGCCTAAAGTAGTTTCGTTGACATTATTGCACCAAGCCTCGTTTTTTGATGCTAAAAAAGTTCTTTCTGTTGTAGCGGTTGATGAAGACAGCTACAGCAAACTCTTTTCTCAACTAACTTTGAGAAAAGAGGGGGACGCACCAATTTTACTTGCTCCAAGCGCTAAACATGTAGCTACGCCACTGCTTATATACATAAACAAATTTTTGGAGGTATTAAAAGTATTTAACTAAGAAGGAGTAAAAATAGTTGCTTTTAAAAAATAAGTGTGACTGGAGAGCTTTTAGATCATTGGCAAGTTTATACCAAGGTTGTATACTTTGATAACAGACTTTGATATTTCATGGACTTACGCTCGTAGCAGAACAATGTTTTAAGACTAGAAGACTCAGATTGTTATTGGACCTTGGAAAGATTTGTTAATAATATGCAAGGTAGTATCATCAGCGAAATGGTAATTGGTTGCAAACTTAATGGAATTGTTAAGGTTATTAATGTAGAAAAAAAATCAGAAGTTCTAAAACTGAGCTTTGGGAGACACCATTAGAAAATCAGAACATTTTATTTAAATTTGAGTCATTAATGGAAACCAACTGCAATCTGTTAAGAAGATAGGAAGTAAACCATTTGAGATTAATTCCTCTGATTCTATAATATTCTAATTTTCTGAGTAGAATATAGTGATTTATTGAAAGCTCTTTTTAGATCGACAAAGACACCACATTCAAAGTTTTTATAGTCAAGAGCTTTTCTAATTGTTTCAGTGTTATAAAGACATTTAGATTTATCCAAGAATGCGTAGAGCTTCTTATGCATTGATTTTTCAAAAAGTTTGCTAAGGTTAGAAAGTCGGGAGATAGGTCGGTAGTTAGACATATCCGTAGTAAACCTTTTTTTTGATTATTGATATGACTTTGGAAACTTTAAAAGCATCTTAAAATTAACTTTTTGAAATAGTTTGTTCATAATAACACTGAGAGGCTCAG